ACACCGAAAAAGACGCACTCAAGCGCCTTGTGTGTCTTACGCTAATTTATTTACTCGAAGTATACCCTCAATTTTCTCTCAGAAATGAAAAGAACAGCACACACACAAAATAAACATAAAGATCAAGAGTGCCATTTCAAGTGCACAAATGGGAACAAGGAAATCAAAATAAAATATCGAACTACATCGAACTACGCTTGCCTGCAGTAAGCAGTATTAAGAACTGTCACGGGATTTGTCCAAGGTAGCAGGCATCCAGTAACCTCGACGAAATCACCCTGCACTTAACGTTGCCGTAGGACGACAGAAATATATTCAATCAACTTCAAATAATGCAGACTTCAGCCATACCTAACGCGCCTACTGAAAGATTAGACTTATAAAGAAGCCTAATCACACGCAAAAAAAAAAAAGTCATGACGACATTATAATTGCTAGTCTCTCTGCTGGCAACAACTTAATGACCTTATTCCGTAATATACTACTTTTAATGATTGCGGAGCGCACGAATAATTTCTAATTGCCGAATGTCGAACTTCGGCAAATATGTAAATATTTTTGCCGAAGTGATTTGCCTGATTAAAATTCAATGTATGTTTTATTTAGACATGAGAAGAACAGCGCACAAGGACGAAAACACAAAAAAGAACACCGAAAGAGACGCACTCAAGCGCCTTGTGTGTCTTACCCTAATTTATTTACTACAAATACCCTCCATTTTCTCTCGGAAATGAACAAACAGCACACACACAAAATAAACATAAAGATCAAGAGCCCCATTTCAAGTGCACAAATAGGAACTAGAAAATCAGAATAAAATATCGAACTACGCTTACCTGCAGTTAACAGTGTTAAGAACTGTCACGAGATGAGTCCAAGGTAGCAGGCATCCAGTACCCTCGACGAAATCACCCTACAACGTTGCCGCAGGACGAAAGAAATATATTCAATCAACTTCAAATAATGCAAACTTGAGTTATATCTAACTCGCCTACTGAATGATGTTTTAGAAATGCCTGATCACACGCAAAGAAAATGCCAAGACAATATAATTGCCAGTCTCGCTGCCGGTAACACCTTCATGACCTCATTCCGTAATATACTATTAATTTTTGTGAAGCACACGAATAATTAGCTCAGACATTTATATTCGGTATTTCATAACGTGACATTTTGCCAAACTATTTATTAAACCTCGTTAAATTAAAAACAAACAAACAAAAACGTTGCTATTAAAAATCAGTGTTCAATACTGACTTTTACAAATATCAACGACGTTGAGAATTAATCGCGCCTGTTGGCCGGTGCCGCCAATGAATGCCTGATCGACTACTGCTCTGCGAAAAAAAAAAGACACCAACCACCTTATGAGATTTTCAAATATTTGATCAGATCCTCAATTTAACGTCCGACGCGACACACCAACGGCCCCAAAAAGAGAAAACCTCCTACCCCCTCACGCCTTAAACCTAGGCGACCCCCGATTCAAAAGGCGCCTTGTCGCCCGGCTCGCCGAACCGCCGCTCTCCCCTTCCTCCACCCGCACACACATACACCGGGAAAAACTGCTGGTTACGCCACTGGTTAGTGAATGTCAACCTTCTAAATATGCGCTAGTGCAAGCGACAGTCATTACTGTTCTTGCTCTTTATGAATTTCGATGGTCTAAACCGTGCCTGCGTTCGCGCCACACACTAATTTTATCGAACGCTCGACGCCTTCAAACGTGCCAACATGTCCGCCAAGCCTTTGTCTAAGGAAGACGGAGGTCGCCTTCCCGGGCGGTCATAACCGACGCCAACTGCCGCCCGCGCAGAATATTTCCTTACCTGCATACGGTGCACATGACTTGGATCTTCGACTGAAGTCAATGCAGTACTCTCAGTGACCTCGTAAGAAGAGACTGAGCCGAACAGAACAATAAGGAACGTTCCTGCGCAGGGACGCCTCCGTCGAACGTTCGAGAAGAAAGACCGTTATGCCGATATGACCGGGAGCGTCGACGGGGAAGGCGCCGACCTGTGGCGCCGACGCTCCCGGTCGGCCGGGCGAGAGCTCTCCCACGCATGCGCGAAGAATGACGTGTCATACGAGGAGACCAATTAGCGAAACTGGTTTGCGCCTTTCCACAGCCAATCGCAGCGCCCAGGCTTTGGCAGTGCTCGAACACGTGCACCCTCTGGGAGGTAATATTTACCTCTTTGGTGCCCCTTCGAGGCGAACTTCACCTTGTAGCACCGCATTCCTATACTTCGTTTCAGCTTCGGTCCGAGCGCGGCCGATGTTATGAGCCGAAGGGCCAATCAAACAGCGAGAGAGGCACAACGTCATGGCATGCTCTCCGCAGTTGATAGGACCAGCCGGTATTCGCAGTCTCTCTGTGCGCGCTCCTCCTATCAAGCGCAGAGAGCACGCCATGACGCTGCGCTTTTTGCGCTGTTTGATTGGCCCTTCGGCTTATAACATCGGCCGCGCTCGGACCGAAGCTGAAACGAAGTATAGTGTCCGCTGCGCCTAAGGAGGTAACAAGCGGAGCGCTTCCCCCCTGGCCGGGAGGAGGGTGGTAAAGGTGGTCTGTTACCTCCTTTTGGTCCCCTTTTTTCTAAGAGTGTAGAGTTACCGCGGAGTCGGTGGCGGTTTCGTTGAGTTGTGTTTAGCAGAAGACGACAAGCTCAAAGGCTTTGCTGCGCAGAATTTGCTCACTCCAGGAAAGCCGCTGTCGAGATTTAACTTTTTTTTGGTCATTCATCAACTTTTGGGCTTCCCCGAGGACGGTCTCATTGACGGCAAGTTCTTTTGTTTACTCCATAAAAGAGCAAGCTTGCCAGCTCAGCCGTAAATGCTCCGGTACGTTTGCTTTTTTTTTTTTAATCGGCGTTTGAACGTCTGACAAACACCGATCCGATCTCCAAACACCCGACATAAGGGTTGAAGCACACCATAAAATACTCGCCTCCGAGCACAGCGTATATGCTTCAATATTCTTACTTTTGTGCGTTTCTCTCATAGACTTGCGTGTATTGCCTGGTGTCAAGCAATGGCCGCCGGTGACGACACCGACGGGCTCCCGATCCGCGATCCAGCCCACTACAATAGAGATCAATGGGCCTGGGGTTAGATAAGAATCGCAATAATTGTGTCACTCAGCTACCTAAATGCTCGACTGTCTCGAAGAGCTGCGAAGTCTAGGCAGCAATGAATAACCGCGTGGGTTGAGGTAAGCACAGAAAAGAAGTTATTGAAAAGAAGAAAAAAAAATAGCGGTAGCGCTGGTGCGAGTTCAACGCCTCTCGTTGGTGTCGACGAAAGTGCCCAGCGATTCATTTCCGCATACGACAACCGTACGTTGTGTTCAATAAAGTCAGCACGCCCACTCCTCGCGTTAAGATTTCTTTTTTGAGCGTTTCCGCCGGCGGTAAGAAATACAGTCAATCTATCAAGATGCCGTCGGGGGCAATCGCGGCGATTGCGGCGGGCACTCTGCCCTCCTTCCGGCTTATAGAGATGGTACGGGTGTCTAGGGACGGATGTTTAGAGTGTCCGATGGCACTTGGAATACTTCGAATAGGCATAGGCATTCTCTCACTCGGCCGAAAAGCCGTGCTCTTCGCTAGGCCTTACCGGGGAATCCGAGCCTCGCTAAATGGCAGCCGTGTTGCTTTAGAGGCTTTTAACCTCCCCAAAGGTAATCACTTATGACAACCTTTTTTTCTTACAGTGTACTTAAAAAGACCTCCGGAAGGAAGCGGCTCAGGAAATGTTGCAACTGTTACGAGAGCGACGCTGATAATATTTTCGACCGCCTCATGACTATGGACGAGTGTTGGACTTGCCACTATGATCCAGAGACAAAATCACAAAGCAAACAGTGGGAGCATGTGAACTCACCAGAGTCAAAAAAAGGCGAAGACTGTGCCGTCTTCGCCGTGGTGTTCTTTTGACATATTACGCTCACAAAGGTCAAACGATCACAGGAAACGATTATTGTGAGCTCCTGACAAAGTTGCGAGAAGCTATCAAGTCAAAGCGCAAAGGGAAGCTCACGAAAGGCGTCCGTCTGCTTCATGACAATGCTCCGTCTCACTCGGTGCAGGAGACGTTGTCACACGCGGCCTCTTTAATTAGGTTACGAAAGTTTGCGTCATTCCTCATATTCAACCGACCTCGCACCTAGTGACCTCTTCCTCTTGCCTCGCATGAAGACTTCTCAGCGTGGAAAGCGTTTCAAGGACGTCGACAAAGTCATCGATGAGGTAGAATGATTCCTGAACAGTCAAGGCGAGGAGTTCTATTACAATGGCATCCGACAGCTTGTCCATCGCTGGCAAAAGTGTGTGACTTTGGGAGGTGAATACGTGGAGAATGACTAAACCCCTACCCAAGTTTCATTGCTGAATCCCTAATCCTTCATGACAATAATACTAACTTTAGGAACGCCCCTTCTACTTTGTTAAAATCTATACGTAAAGCTATAAGGTCACGTGTCTAGTGGTAAAAATGTGCAACATGGCGGTGGCCGGTTGAGGTTCATTTGCAGCCGCCAGTTTATCTGTCTAACCCCTATACCCCGTTGGCACAGAAACTTTCAACGGGCCAGGCAAAAACACTGTCGGTCTAAACGTGCTTGTGTCCGTCCGAAGAACATCGATAAACCATCATCGCAATAAATTCACTAGTTCAGAAAAATTGGAGAAAATTAGAAGGGCGCCAATATTTGGTTTTGGAGCCTTGATAGTAAAAACGTTATTAAAAAGTGCATGTTTGCCCAGGTGCATAGGCAATGACGATGCTTCACTTTTCTTTCTTTACCTCATCACCACAGACTTCGGATACCTGCTCGCTTTATCCTTAAATGTAAATATTTCGGCGGAACTCCGCCAAAAATTTTCGAAGGAAAAAGGTTGCAATCGAGGGAGCACGCAGTCTTCGTATATAACCGAAGGCATTTGATCACTTTATTTTATTCGCGCACAATTTTGTGCTCTTTATGAGCAGACCGACATGTCTGTCAAACTTTACGCGGAATCAACATGGCTGCGATGCAATCGATTCCAGAACCGGCAGCGGTGTCCAATATTGAGCAGTGTCTGCTCTGGCTCTCTGCTGGTGATCTTCAAGGCAGCAAGGTTACCAGGCAGAAGCTGGGGCCATTGGTAAGCCTCCACGAGATGGTTCTTTCTGCGGAAGCAAAAGTATATGAAGACTATTCATACTAAACCCATGACAGTAGCGCAAATATAGTCAGATGCCACGTGGTATGTGTCTAATCAATTAAAACTTGTTGTTGGCCTAGTTGGTTCATGATCCAGTCGCGAAAAAACCTCTAGACTGTGTCTAATCAAGTTCACACTGTTAGATCATTTTGTGTGGAACACATCTGGCGCGTAATGGAACTTGCAACCAAACACAGATGGACAACCGCATGAAAGATATTGCGGATTTTGATAGCATCAATCGCGTGCCGAGAAAATGAGAAGAGTTTCATGCCCTAGCCACTATTTAGATCACCCAACATTAAGGTTTGTGCATCTTTCCATATTCTATGAACCTAGTAACCCTAGTTAGACCTTTTTGGTGAGGCTAACTAATGTTCACTTTGAGAAAGTTCATCATGATAAAAAATTAACACCTTGAACTTTTAAAAATTCAAAGATATTTCAAATATGATTTTCGATCATGAAAATAAACACCACCTGCCAAAAAAAGTCAAAAATAATGCAAAAGCAATGAAAAGCGACAAAGTAAAATAAAATAAAAACATTTGGACGAAGACTTTTTTATCTCCCAGTTGTGTTCTTAATTCATTTTAACTTACCGGGTCGATATTTATTGATTTTTAATTATTTCCACCGTTACGCTCTGCTATAAAGACACAAAAGTTATTTATGTCGTTTCACACTTGAAAGTGTGGTGCAGAAGAGAAGAAAAAAAACCTGTAGTCGAAGGAACAAACACAGGAGGGAGTCTCGAACTCGGTTAATTGCTCATTTTCTCGAGCATCCTCTATAAAACCGCACATCCACTTTCAAACAACTTCTACGCAGAGATCTCCTTCGATGAAAACATTTTCAAATAAAAAGAACATACACATTCACAAACGAACAAACGGTCCAACCCACAATACCATCATCGTAAACCTACCTTTGCGTAGAAGGGGATTGACTATGATGGTACTGTGGGTTGGACCGTTTGTTCTCTTCTGAATCTGTATGTTCCTTAGGGTCTTTGAAAGGGATTTCAACAAAGCAGATCTCTTCGTAGAAGGTGGTTGAGAGTGGTTGTGTGAGTATAGATAAGATGGTTGTTAAATAAACCAGTCAGCCAAGTTTGAGACGTTCCCTTTTGTATCCGCTCCTTCAACTAAAAGTGTTTTTCTTTCTTGGTCCACAGTTTTAGGTGTTAAACGGTATGATTAGCTACCACCAGCTCGCATGTGCACTTACTGTCTTTTCATAAAAAAAGTTAATCTAGGAACTTCGTCCGCTTTAGCTAGTCTACATGGGAAAGGGAAGGGGTAATATGTGTACTGCCTTTCCCGTGAGATCTAAGAGGATTGAGGCATCGAATCTCTGTAAATGCAATTTCAAATACAGAACAGAATAATACAGTTTTCACTTACCCATGCTTAGCGAATGAAGTCCACAATCCCATCAATTTTTTGCTGTAGTTCTGGTCCTCGGAAGACGCCTTTTCCGCAACTGGTCTTCCAAAGACGTACAGAACGTCTTCGACGTGCGCCATGCCGTACCAGGGTTTCTTGGGCGAACTCGAAGACGTGTGGTTTAGTATGTAATAGAAGACTGAATAATCTGTATTACTTGCTAACCTCATTGAAGCTTCTTTTGATGAACATGTTATGACCTTGTCGCCCCAAGCATCCTGAACCGCTCGTCTCAGTTTCTCATAGTCTGTGTTCCCCAGGTCTCGTGTATAAATGTTATGAAGCTCGTCTAAAAGCTGGGGACTCGGAGGCGAGAGCAAAGGCGCCAGTAAAAGGAGAATCTCAATTTTTGTCAAATTCTTCGGCGAGCCAGCATGGAACACCGCGGGAAAGGATCGGCTGGCAAACAATCCACCTTCGTTAACCACGTGACCAATTAGTATATCCTTATTTCCTTGATACTCTGCTCTACAGGGTTCATTCTGTAGGGAGGGCACACCAAAGACCGTCACGAAGCACAGCGTATCGGGACAAACCAACCCTTCTGCTACTCTAATATGCAAGGGATCTGCCCGTCGCAAGCACTCAATGACATTCTCTGGCAGACCAGTTTCGGGTTCAGATGAATTCGTGCAGTTAAGATACATTGCCATCTTTTTTACTTTCGTGAGTAGCCGCGGGTCACTGGCGCGATCCGAATGAGTGCACATAGCTCCGCTTTGCATAATAGCCCTTTGAAAAAGGGCTCCAGAGACCGGTGACGACAGGTGGAAATCTACGGACATCGACCCTGCGCTTTCACCAAAAAGTGTAACTCTCCCCTGATCTCCTCCGAAAGCAGCTATGTTGTCCTTTACCCAACGCAATGCAAGCAACTGATCCAGATGTCCCTGATTTCCAGGGACGTGTTCCGTGCCTCCGTACAAGAACCCCAAGGCTCCCAGTCTATAATTCATCGAAACAACTACGACATCGCCGTAAGCTGCCAGAAGTGCACCGTCATATATGCTAAGAGAAGACGAGCCAAAACGATATCCGCCACCGTGGATCCACACCATAACTGCTAGGTCCGAAGCACTGTTGTTTCTTGTCGGGCTCCAGACGTTTAGGAACAAACAGTCCTCAGTCTGTACTTTAATGCCTGCAAAGAGAATCAAGATCAAGTCGCGCGGATAATGTAATTGCTATATAATTTATCCCTTTATGGTTCAATCCTCCTTCGGATTATGTAAGCACTTGAGTCTAAACTTTGAATCTGGCTCTAAAACGAGTGAAATTTGAATTTCAATAGGCTTATTGCTAAATTACCCAAGCATCAAGGAGAATGCAGGGATTGGTGCTCCACGCGCCACACGCTTACGCCCTCCCCGTATAAAAGATTCGAAGCAAATAACCAAAAGAAAGCGTTGACGAACGCGCGTGCAAGATGCAATTTGTTTTAGACACTTGCTTTAGAAAGGTTAATGCTGAGGCCAGATCGGTCCGCGCGTGGAACTCCAAACCCTCTATTCTCCTTGATGCTTGGGTAATTTAGCGATAGGTCTATTACTGTTACTTCGAGCTTTGGTCTCATCTCAGATTGCCACAAGTATTAACTCATCGAAAGCCACTGTGTAAAGCGTCAATTTCGATTAAGTTTCATAGACTTTATAGCAACCGTTTCTTTCATACTACAATCCCGTTCGATATCGTCCATCCGGTGTGACGTTTGAGTTTCGTTGGACGCTTCAAGTACTCTGTGATACAGTTAGGGACCTCAGAATAACGATATCATAACAATATGCTCACTGATGCCTCTGTGGCAGGCAGCCAACTTTAGTCATGTTAGCAGTTTTATCCTGTTCGTTTGTTTAGATAGGTGTGCATCACACTTCTCCTTATGGCATTCTATGGGTCACATTCAAAAGCTTAAGGCCGCCAGGTTCAGGCTTGAGCCATTTACAAACCCCCTGTTAAACTGCTTTAACGTGCATATTAGATCCCTCCTTTGAACGGAGCTATATACCACGTTGTTTCTAACTCGCACGTGATTGGACTAGATGCTACAAGTCACCAGGCCCTATCGTGGGGCTACGAAGTCTAGCAATCCTCCCGCTTGCATTACATTCGTGTAATCCATTTTTACTTGGTTAATATCGATGTATACCAAAGCTTTGCTTCCAAGCAAGGAAGCAGAAGGCAACCAAAGGCGCAGAATTTGGTTTACATTCAGATCAAAAAGGAAAATAATTGTTTCGAAGTTTACCCTGCACTCTCGACAGCCTTCGATTAGTGTCGACCTGGATGCATACTGGAGCCGGTCGGGTGGCATCCGCAACATCAGTCCACGGCTCCGCGGGCTGCGGCTCCCGGAAACGAAGGGCTCCGACTGGGGCCTTGCCATACCGAATGCCGGTGAACGAATTGACAACTTTGCCATTTAGCTGCTGACGGAATCCCCTCACACGGCCGGCCGTCGTGAGTACGACGGGTCCCTCCCCGTTGTCGGCAGCATGAGCTGCAGCCGTGAGTGCCACGCAGGAGAGCAGTAACAAGTGGGCAGACCTCTGCCCTTTCATTTTCTTCTAGGGGCCGGGATTCTGCGGTAGGAAAGATGACAATAACGGATGTACAAGACACTCTTATGCAGCGTTTCATATATGCAACCATAACTGACCTTCACGCTTGTTTTCTGTTATTCAGTTTACTATATTGCATCGCTGTGGTCACACCACGGCTGAATATTTTTCTAGACACCACAGTGTTCATATAATTAAAGCAGTCTTTGTGCATGTTCATTCGCCATTCTTAGTGGTTTGGAGTTACTCTGAAAAAGAAAAGAGGCGGTTTCATTTGGCGATTTTAATTTGATGCGCGCTTGAAGTGTGTACACGTATCTTGACCCGTCGCCAGTGATCCACCACTATTACTAAAAGTTCACCGAAGTATGGCATAATACCTATCTTTCAGATGCGTTCAGGCATTTCTGCGTTTTTTATGTAGTTGTTATGGTTATGAGAGGCCAACGAGTCGATAAGTTAGTTTTATTACATTCAGAATAGCAAACGCCTAGAACTTTATTGTTAAAGAAGAATTCTTGTGTTTTTAGGATTTTAGTTTTAAACAAATTTTCGATGTTCGTTAGACAAAACAGGTTTCAAAAATGCACTCATTCTTACTCATGACAATAACAGTTTACCTCTTCTTTTTCTTTTATACGAAATAAAATCAATATTGAAGCAATACAATGTCTGCGCTGTGCAAGCTCGCCGTCACCACGTGCCCAGAAGCATCAAATTTAGCTATTTCATTCCAGCTATTTAGCTCTTTCATCCCAGATATTCGACGCGATACCAGATCATCACGAGTGCTGCAGCAAGAAGCGAAACTACATTTAGTTTTACGCTCACTTGGCACGCAGAATACGCTGCGGGCAGGACGTCAAAGCCAAGGGCGCCGCGTAGAGTTGCCAATTCATGCGCTGGGAAGGACTTCTAAAACCAAGAACTCATATGCTCTAGCCTTGCTTGTATTTGATACCTTCTTTTGAATTTTCGGATTCATTATGCCATGTCCGTGAGACAACCTCCGCAGGGCCCATGAAAGGTTCTGAATAAACTCAAACCGTATCCGGCAAAACCGACTTTCAATTCCATCGCTGAATAAAGCGTTACTACCCAGGAGACAAAACGTATTGAGCGCCCTTCATACGTTAAAAGGACCATGAAATGACATTTTTACTTTTGCCAAATAACTCTTACATTCAACCGTCAATTTTCACTTAACGCCGAACAGGCATCTATTATCGTTTCGGTTTATTAACTTCTACGCAAAAAATCGACCGCATCTCCTCGTGGTGATTAATGTTGATTGGGGCGAAGCTCTGATGGTGCTTGTCTGCGCAGACGCTGAGCCGCAGTATGCCGAGCCTTTCGTTCGTTTTCATTCATGTCAGAAAGAGGATGTGTGGTACGGAACGTCGTTATATACGCATTTGAGCATTTGACCGCAGCGCCTTCTCGTCTATAAACGTTGAGTACATGCATGCAAAGTTTAACGCCATTATATACGCATTTGACCGCAGCGCCGTCCCCTGTATAGACGTTGAGCAGGTAAATGCAACGTTTCATCCATGACATCCCCAGCTCTTGAGTTACTACCACATCTCAGAGCCCGCTACTCGTCCCGCAGCCGTGGCCGAGTGGTTAAGGCGATGGACTAGAAATCCACTGGGGTCTCCCCGCACAGGTTCGGATCCTGTCGAGTGCATCACTTTTTCTTTATTTTTTGCCTACACGGGCACGTGAGCATGTGAGCTCACGAGCACGACCACCAGCAAGAGCGATGTGAGCACGGACGCCGGACGGACAAGGCTAGACCCTAAAGGGGTATTCACACGAGGGAGAAATCCCGGGGATTTCTCCCCGGCACGCGCATCCCACGACGAAAACGTCAGGCTTTGCGATGTGCAAAAGCCTCGCGTTTTCATCTCGTGATGCGCGCGTGCCGGGGAGAAATCCCCGGGATTTCTCTTTCGTGTGAATACCCCTTAAGGAGCTTCGCCCCTAAAAATGAATGAAATATCAACTTTTTCTTCGTTTCCAACTCACCGCAAAACAAGCTGCGGCGTAATTTTGACGCTCGTGACGTCCGCCGGCATCAGAATCGGAAGTTCTCTTGGCAGTAGGAGAATGGGAGCGCTAGCGGCGGCGAGTTGGCGGTGTGCCGGTAGGTTTTACTGCGCTGAAGGCGCGCATGCTACCGACATTTTTTCTTATCGCCGCGATAGCCATGGACACATCGCAGCTGAGCGAAATTCAGTTAGATTTGTTGCGCTACACCGACAGCATGGGACTAGCCCCATACACTGGTATGCCTGTTGAGAAGTGCGGCGAGTCTTCCGACGAAGGCTCCCATTCTTCATCGGAATCGCCGGAGGGCTTTTGGAACCTGCCCGCACTCGCGGGGAACACTGTGAATGTGGCTGTAATCACACTCGGTGTCAAAATGTTCCGAGCGTACACGAATGACCTTAGACCCGGGGTCCCTGAAACCGATGAGCCTGCACCAAGTGCTTCGACGTGGTTCATCCAGTGGCAAGCGGTGAAACTGCAACTGTTTATTTTTAACCACCAGACTACAAAAACTGTAATTTGGGCACTTCGGAACACTGCAGCCTTTCGGCATAGTTACCCAGCCATCGATCACAAACAATGTAAACACTAGTCGAGCAACCAGAAAACAAAAATCTGCTCTGCGAAGACAGCGCGGCCAGGAGCAAACCCGTTCAGCAGACGACGCTCGTGAACTGACTGCGCAGGCGGGTCTTTCTTTTGCTTCGTTTACCACACGATAGATGGCGCTTGGTTCTGAGTCTTACGGTAGTTGGCGTAAGCTACCGTCCGATCCAAAGGGCTCAGCCGGAATCATCCATCCATCCATCCATCCTATCAAATTCGGCAAATTTCGTCAGATGTCTTATTACGCTACAATATATAGATCTCAATAATATCTAACAAAACTTTTAGGAGACATTCGCCAGCTATTGTTTATGATCGCGGTGCTGGTGAGGTAGGTTGTTGCCCAATAGGTGGAGTGGATTTGGCTCACGAGCTGCGGTTCCGCGGATGCATCGCAGAGAAAAGGCAGATAGCTTTCGAAGGAAAGATGTAAAAGAGTCCGGTTTTCTTTTTAAAGTTTTTTAGCGAAGAATTTTTTTTTTCTTTTTGCTTTCTATTTTTGTGTTTTTGGGTATCTTTTCAGACCTTTTAGGACGGGCATTGGATGAAGTTCGATTTCAAAATCGTTTCATGGTCCCTTTAAGTGACGTTCGCTAACAGCCGCATGCGCACGTGTGGAGATGTGCGGAAAATTCTGAAGGGCCTCCAGAGAAACGTCGGAGGCAGACCTGTCACGGAATGGTGGCAAACGCGGATATCCGGGGCGCATTTCGGTGGTCATCTTTCAAAGTCAAAGAAGCAATAAGCCAGATTGGATACGACGGGTGACTCAAGGACCAAAGTCGGTGGGTAAAGCGACTCCTCTTAGGCATCTATCTGACAGGTGTACAGAGAAGTTCACGAAAGCGACTTTACCCAAATGCAAAAGTATGGTTGTACCGCAGTGCCCGTGGCTGCCACCATGGACAAAAACTGAGAAATGAGGGTGCTACAGACAGTACCTAAGCAGGAGCTTCTCGAGTGGGCATGCAGAAGGCCCGGCTATATGAGCTCTGCGGATACGCAGCTTCTAAGGAAATTCAACATCAAGAGAGAGTACCTTCTACGAAAACAGCCCGGGGTAGCCGCTTGCTTTTTGACTTATCAAGAAAGGGTGGGAACGCTAATTTATCGACGGAAATTCGATACCATGTTGCAATCGACGACATGATGGGCTTATTTCGAAACAGGCGAAGTCATCGAGCACATTGTGCTGTTACGTTGAATCCTGCAACTAACGCAATTGGTGAAGTCCTGGCAAACGCTGGACACCTGACTGTGGCCTGTCAATGCATTTCCATTTGACCAATTGTTTTCAGAAGCACTCGGCTACTGATCAGCCAACACCGGGTTTGTGCTGAATGTATGTATGTAGTATATGGATGCGGCGGGTGGCTCTTGAAGTGCGAACGCAAAGCGTGGCGTTGTGACAGTTACAGAGCAGTTACCGGAGCAGAGAAGTAGCCGAAAGGCTTTAAAGAAGGCGGAAAGATTGGCGGGGGGGGGGGGGGGGGGGGGGAAGGGGCGAAAGAAGTAAAACATTTTTTTTTTCTAGTTTTAGTTGGCTAAACTCGCCACCACGCGCACAACATTGACTAATCGGCATTCGCAAGAAACATAAATCGTGAGTTCCATCAAGGGGCTATTAGCGGCGAGATGTTCTAGTGGTGCCCTCCTACGGTTCCCCCTTGTGACGTCATTACCTTGCAAGCAACAAGTTCGATGGTGTTTGTAAATAGCATGGTGGAAGCTTGAAATCATTGCGCTCTCAAAGGAACACTGCCAACACCGTCAAAATTAAAGTACTTTCATTCCTCTTATTTCCGCCGATGATAAATCCTTTTCTGACGTCATAGTCAGCGTTCAGCCAATTGTGGAAGGCGGACCACAGCGACGCTTTCAATCGCGCACGTCGCCAATATGCTTTCCCTCGGGAATCGCGCCACTGCATTTCACAATAGCCAACATTAATTTTCTACAACACAGTAATACTGGGAAAACTAATTTAAAGGGACAAAGTAAAACTTAAGGAACGTTTGAGCTTCGCCTTTAAGAGTTGAACGCGATAGCGTTATCGGGACCTTTTCGCAAAGCTTTTTAATATAAACCCGCGCTCGTTCCCGAGGCGCGCAAGCGCATGCGCGTCGTCTACTTAGTAGTGTCACATGTCACTTGACGTCACACGTGAACGTTGTGGGTTGTTTCAAATTCCCGAGCGAGGTCTTGTGGCGTGGCTTCGCACGTGACGTTGCACGTGGCTGTGACGTCATGACCCTATCGACCCGCTAAAATTAGCAGAAAGTCTTTCCCACAAATTTAGCCAAAAATGTTTCCGCAAAATTGAGCGGAAAATTTTCCCGACAAATTTAACGAGGAAATTTAACCCTACTGACGTCACACGTGACGTCACGTAAGACGTCACGTTGACGTCACCAGGTGCATAGCGGGATTTTCTGGTCCCACCGACGCCGACGCCGAATTTTCTGCCACACGAGCTCCTAAACGCTATAACGTTAAAAAATTTTATTATTTGTGACATGGGAAATAAAACCAGCGAAACACTTAAATTATTTGCCGCTTCACCACGGGCGTTTTATTTTAAATATTTAGAGACGCTGAGTGGCCGTGACTTTGCTGACACAGCCATGAATGGCACATGGCAGGCGGGCATCGGCTCAGCACATCACCAGTTGACCACTGCTCCCGAGCCTGTAGATATCGTTTTACCGCTAATTTTCTAAACGAATTTAAACCAGGTACTTTTGGAACTATACAGTGTAGAACCAAGAGTTATATCCCCAGAAAGGGCTTCCCCACTTGCGGTCTTCGTTTTTGTTCTGGCGTGCGGCTGGCGTGCCATTCCTTCTATGTAAAACCACAAATCAAAACGAAATATGGAGATGCAACAGGAAACGCCTACGAGCCTAAACTTTTTACCGAATCACCTGACGATACATAACTGAATACTAAAACCCGCGCAGAGTTTGAAAGCTAGCTAAAGATGGATCAATGAAAAGAAATAAATGTAACCAATTACTTATAAAGAAAATTAGGATTGAAGAACTGGATCACTCCTCCGACCGTCTCTATCATTAGAAATATTTTATGGTAATTTAGTTAAAATTTGATTCAACCCAGATTGTGAATAAATATTAAAACTACCCTTGATATCACCAACAAACATCATGTTTTTATTTTAAATTTTTAAAAGAGAGTTGAACATGTGTACTATTAAAATGAAACTATTGTAAAATGCGAGGCACCAATTTCATTTTTAACGTGACTGTGTTTACTGAGTATGTACCTGCCGCGTCACACGCACAAGCCTAATGGACTTATGTGAGCACCGATTGTAATATGTTACAAATTGAAATAAAATTTGCATTGTATTGTCTTGTTAAGGATAGATAACTGAGCAAGTTGGTGAGAGTTCCTGTTGAAAAACAGCGCGACTGGGACGACACAAAAAGACGAAGAGAACATAAGACCGCGTTTGGTTTCTGTTCTCTTCGTCTTTTTGTCCCCGTCCCAGTCACGCTGTTTTTCAATATTGTAGTACAATACTGCGTTATGTTCATGGCGTGAAAATGTGTTTTGCTAGTTTTATACTTTTCCTGGAAGATCCTACTTAGCCAAAAAACCGCGGCTTTTGCCCGAGAAAACAGGTCCTGTTACCAGATATCCGAGTCTACGCGCATTCATTAACTAACAGCGGTACAATGCGATAGGCTGGGCTCCTAAACCACATAAACTTTAACAATGACACCTTATGGTCGCCTTCAAACAGGAAACGCCACACTTGCCGCCAGCTCGAAAGAGAACTTTCGTAGTTGTAAAACCGAAAAACTTAATACTTGAATGGAGTTGCCCTTAACCACAACACTTGACCACCGAACCAGAACAACCAGCCCTTGGCATTAGTTACAATTTAAAAGTGGTTCCTCACCGGTCTTTTCTTTGTCGATCGCTGGAACGATTGGACGCTGAAAACTGTACTCTGGTTTATGACACTGACGAGTCTGTAATGACTTAGCAACGAGCTTCCTCGATTCTACATCCGTTCACACTGGACGTCGGCAGAACTCTGTGGGCTATTTTTTCTAGCTGCTCGATATCGCGCTTCCAGGGTTTCTATCTCGAATCGGTCATTAACTCGGCCCAACATGGCCTCTGCCGTTTTCGTCTGATGTCTACGCGGTGTCGTATAAACGACAACCTTATCACGTGCGTTTCTTTCTTCTTTGTTTTTTTGTTTTTTTTTTGTGAAGCACAGCAACTGTTACGAAAGTCGCAAACTAGGCGTTTCTCTCCAGTTTCAGTAGCTTGACCCTAGACCGATATAGGTTATGAGGCGCTCTCTATTCGTATTACAATCAGAAACCCTTATCAAGATTCTGTTTGATGAAGTTAAAAAAATGTCTGTCCAGCTACGAACATTATGTGCGTAGTTCGATTTGCAATTTAGTAATCCACATTAAAATGTACCACTTTGTACGATAAGCGTTCCGTCTCATCGTTACTTTATGTATGTTTCGGCTATAAATATTTAAGCTATAAAATAGTGCTACAGGTGTGTGCCTCTAATTAGGATTTTCCCTTTGAGATATTGTAAAATTTATCATCGTCATAAATAACTGCAGTAGGTGAAAAAGTTCCTAAAAACCAGAGTAGCTGTGCTTTTTATGTTTTTTTTAATTTCAAATCATCTATTTTTATATTGATTTTTCAACCTTAAAGTGCCAAGCAACGAAGCGAAGGAGACCGCTCTCAACTTAGCGCTTAAATATACCACGGGTTAAGACGGTATTTGTGCACCTCTGTTTGGATCTTCACGTTATATTATTTTCACCAACTTCCGAGAGTAGAGACGTGTCCATAGAAATTATTATCTATACAATAATGATGTCATTTTAATGCGTAAACAACTGCTTTACCGTGAATCGTATCTACAATAAACGCTTATCCCAAGAACATCTCTCAGCGACCGAAGAACTCGGCTATAAATCAGTTCCTAAAGACGTTTTCGCGTAATTATAAGACGTTAAAACAATACGATATTTTCATCAGGGGTTATTGTAAACTGGAAGCAATATTGTTTCTTGCAAGAACAAGAAATAAAGAAACTATATTGTTTTTTTACTTACTTGTCGTTCCATTTGTTTCTTCATTATTCACATAGTCCAGATTATTCGTATAATCTTTACATCAAATGTACCCCCTAAAAAAATAAGAAAGACTATTTTTATGAATTATGTTGTTTAATTAATAGAACATAAAAACAGAGCATAACGCATCTCAATTCATAGCAGGCCTAAAAATTGCGAGAATTACGTATGTTTATGCGCTCATGCGCCGCCGAAATAAAATTTACTCACACATCGGGTAAAACGTTTTGAGTATTTTTTTCTTCTCTGCTTAGTTTAAGGAATTTCATATCTTCTTTCTGGTATAAAGTATCATTCGTTCCTTATGTGCATATTTAGATGGTGAAATGACCGATGTTTTTCAAAAGAAATGTTCGGGTAAACCTTCCTGATTTGGACTATGTACTTCACAGAAAGTTTAAACAAGATTTGAGGGGCTTACATGTCAGACCACCGAACCGACGCAAGGCCTCCCGCACGCCCCGGCGAAAGACTGAGGATTAATTTCAATCACCTCAGGATGTTTCTGACATCCAATCAAAATATCGGCAGCAAAACGCATTCTTCGAAATCCTCCTCAGTCAGATTTCGGACACATTGGCCGGGGTTCGAGTCCGCTCACAGTTAGTCCGTAGACCAGAATTTGCTTCGGAGGCAACGAGGCGGCTTGGGGCAATCGGTATTCTACAAGTTCATAAAATATGGTGCAATATTTAAAAACACGAGATACGTTAAGAGGTTGCATTACGTTAAAACACGTGATAAGCCAAATGCCATTATCCGCGTTTGGTTTTAAAGAAATGATTTTGATGAGCATTAAATTTTATATTGGCTAACATTGTCATCACTCGGGCTTATGGTATTACTGTAGCAGTTTCAGTATTTGATTTTCGAAGATTTTTAAAGTAATGAACGTGTTTATGAAATATTTTGAAGTATATCAATTATAACGTTGCAGCATCGATGATTTGTCGCATTTTAACCAGGCTGCAAATGAAATACCCGTGTTGATTTTTTTTCCGTGTTTGGATGTTAAACTTCCAATTGAAAAAAAAAACTGTCACTAGGGCTTTCATTTGTTTGAGTTTTCGAATGGGTTTACTTTGCATTCCTATATTACCACCATAGTAGGAATCTCTTTAAATGGGCGCGAGAACAAAATTTAACGAGTTTTCGTCAGTTGATTATTTTTTTTCTTCAAAATAAAGTCTACGAAAACAATGCAACTTCTACCCATACTACCGAACTCCAATTAAAAAAAAGTACAACGCACAAAGGCATTTATTTAAACAATCGTCCCGTGTAGAGTATTTCATAAGGCGAACACTTTATTTTTTTTTGTCTGGTCCTTTTGTTTACACACGCTAAGTACCCCAAAAGCACTTGTAGGCGCGTGCAAGGGGCCAATCGAAACCAGTGTCACATCAAATACTCATGAAACCTGCATCACCTGCTCATGTAACAACCTTATATCCGTGAAATATATCTCCCATTAAATCACTACTTCAGGAAGCTTACAGGAGCTGAATAAGATAATTTAAAAGACACCTTAATTTTTATAGCCTGGGATTGCAACTGGTGAGCATACAAACCTTATAAATATATGTATGTGTTATATACGTAATGCACGCAATGAAGCTATACCCGTTTTCACCTCAGGAACCATAGTAAAAAAAAGTCCGGCACCACGCGGACCATTACTAAATTCCCCTTTTATGCGGATAATTAAGAGACATGCAGGTGAATGTTAGAATATATATATGTTATCTTATCCAGACGTACACGTTTCCAACGCCAAAAGCGTCACTTTTTCCTCCAACAACCAAATCTCGTAAGAACTATTTCGCGCCGCGTATGAACAATGCGCAAAACTTGCTTTTTTCTTAAGGTGAAAACGGGTATAGTTTACTTTGCTGACTCTCTCGTCGCAGATGTCGGTAGTCTGCTAGCTTTATCTTTGGACGTTCTCAGAAGAACAAACTTGCGAGCTAAGGACGCCACATTGTCTTCGTACATTGCCAAGGATATCAGAAACTTTATTCTATTCGCGTACAAATCAGCCTCGTTTTTGAACCGACCGACATCTGTCGCGAAATTTACGAGAGCTCAGACTGGTTGTGATGCAGATGCAACCGACTCCAGAAACGGCATCGATCTCCCAAGTTGAGCGTTGCTTGCTCTGGCGGTCTGTTCGTGATCTTCAAGGCAGCAAAGTTACCAGGCATAAGCTGGGGCCAGTGGTACGCTTCCACGAGATGTTGTTTTCTGCAGAAACAAAGGCATTTCAGGGCTACACTTAGACTAAATCCACGAGAGTAGCTCAAATATAATCAGATGTCATGCGGTACATGTCTCTTAAGATTTAAACTGTTCAATTTATTTATTTATTTATTATTTGAAAATACTGCCAGTCTCAAGAGGGACATAGCAGGAAAGGACACAAAACTCGAGAAAATTGCATGCATCATAATTGTCACTTCAAGGTCAAAACATACACATAAATGTAACGTACAGTGTCTAAAAATGAACAAAATCAGAATTTATATCTATTGCAGAGATACAATAAAATCAAAGCAGGTGAGCCCTTGTTAAACAATGAAAAACAAAAAAACTAGGTAATCTTACATCCCTCATTCTTACCTGACAAAGCGTATAGATGTGCTAAGATCGGGTTATTGTGGCACAGGTTTGTTCCATACTTTGATGTCTTAGGTGAAAATAGTACCAAAACAGTAGTTTTTAAAGGAATATTCAGAAAAGGGAGTACTGTGCTTATGCCTGGTTGCTCTAGTATTAGAAAACGAAACATACTTGGATTTCTCAATTTTAAAGGTATTTTTAAGAAAACAGAACAAGAATTTCAGCATAAGCTGTTTAGCTTTGCTAGCTGAGGTTAAAAGGCCTGCTTTCATAAAGTTTAGGTTGTGAGTCCGTGCGCATATACTTATTTTACATAAATCCAATTGACATACATCGTATATCATTTAGTTCAGATATGTTAGTTTTGTGTGATGAAACCGAACAATATTAACGTATACTAGTATGGGGCAAACTAGACTTGTGTAAGCCAGGAGTTGTGTGGCTGTCGTGGCTATTAAAGGAACTCTGCCAGGGTATTTATGCTCGGCGAGGTTTTTAGTTGTACATGATATATGGGAGCCTCACAACCCAGAACCGAATTCGCGGCTCGAAATTCGGTTTCTTTTCGCCCGAAAACCGCCGATCGAGAACTGGCCCATTTGAGTCGCGCTCACCCTCTTCTGCGTGGTCATGGGCAGTTTTCTAAGGTTTAGACACAACCACCAAGTGTAATGAAAGAGATGGGTCATTGAAGGCGCACACTCATTATTAAAAAAAAAAAAGAATGGAACCCATTTTTGGGGGCTCCTAAAAATCTGCAAATACGTTGATTGAAAAAAAAAGTTGCACAGACAACTAAAGCATTCGGTGCCTTCACTGCGTAATTCTCAGCAAGGGCGTCGTATCGCGTATTGTGCAACTAGCGGGCTGGACGGCTTGGACGGCGGACGACGGAAATGGGACCTCTACTTCAGAACTGTCGTTAGCGGTACTGGCGAATCTGTCTTCCTTCGAATGAGAAATTCTGAACCGTTTAAAACGATTAGGATTCCTTCCGTACGACACGCCCGACCACCAAGCCGATTTTCACGAAGACGTCGCCGAGTCGTCGCCCCTTCTGGAGCTGAAGACATCGCTCATCTTAGGAACACGAACGGGTAAGAGCTTAAAAAAAGCGTAAACGTTAAGCACGAAATGCGTACTTCGAGTTGAATATGCATGCGTGCGATTCCCTTACTAGGTGCGTATAGGTGGCCAATCCTTGGTGATGCCCGACTTCGAGCCTTGGGAGTGTCTTTGATGCAGAAATATTGGCAGCAAACTCTCCGACCTTTAGGAACGGTAGACCGGCTGCATTATTACGAACGAGGAGTTCCCCTCCGTCTGCCTGAACATT